CTTTAACTTCAGAGCAATAATTCTGTCATTACAAGCAATCTTCTTAACAACACTCCTCACTACACTTTTATGCACCACTATTGCCACACCTCTTTCAGCCCGTTCACCTCCGGAATAATACACTGTATAATCACCGCTTCTTATTTCACCTTGTCCTTTCCACCGCACTTCGCTGACACCTAGAACAGACACTTCATTCTTCTGCATTTCCGTTTTCAAATTCTCCAATTTTCCTGCTTGATTCAAGGTCCTGACATTCCATGTTCCAATCTTGTATCCATGCTGTTTCTTCTGATCTTCGCACTTTTTCTTGTTGTAACGCCTGCATGACATTTCCTCTAGAAACACTCCCCCCCGGAGATCCGATTGGGGGAGTAGTTTACCTCCGGATTGTTTTGCCTCCAGAGGAAACATCTCGCATATATGGTATCTCTGTTTTTGGAAAGAGACTATCCAGGAAAAGTGATAATGTGGTAGTTTTTCCATTTGCTTTCCACATCGCAGTACAGCAGCCGTTCAAACTACTCTGGTCACGCCTGCTGCTATATGAACTTGAACCAACTCGAGCATCATTTGCTCTGTGCTTCAAGTCGCTACTGATGATGCTACTGATTTATAAAGTATACAAGTATAGTCATAGCCGTGAAAACCTCAAAACTTATATACAAGAACAATTTACATATGAATGACATACACATTGAGACACACAATCCAATATTTCAGACAGGGCTTGAACTTTGTGATAAATAGCACTAGGAAGATATATAAACAGGAACAACTACACTATGTTTAATATACAGGAAGACCGCAATAGTATCACATATACGGGAGAAATATGGCAAAAACATAAGCACACAGAATTGTAACGTTACCACTTGGTCAGGTATTTCAATATCTGATATCCAGGAGCTGAAGATTACTCTTCTCTAATTTATCAAATAAAACATTTAGTGCTTGTTCTCGACCTACAGCAAATTCACTACCAGCAAGGCTAAGATACTGAATGCTATCGGAACCAAGGCATTCAGCAATAATCTTAACAGATTCACCACAGAGGGTATAACCTCCAATATTTAAATGAGTTACAACTTTATTATGATCTTTTAAGGTTTGAAACAAATCTTCTATTTCCTCTGGTAACGGTATCTTTTTAAGATCATAACTGGCAATATTTAAAAATCTTAGCCTCGCATTATTTTCTAAAAACTTTGACAACTCTTGCAGAATACTTTCATATATTCTATTACCGGAAATATCTAAATCTACGATACTTTCTTTTTTCAGTACCCCAACAATTTCTTCAATATTACCACTACTCAAATTTATATTAGCTAAATTTAATGACTCCAAAACATTATTACCTTCTATACTACTAGATATTTTCTCTAATATTTCATAACCTAACTCAGCTCCTATATAATTACCTGATAAATTCAGCTCCTTAAGCACTTGTTCTTTTCTATTTTTCATACTAGAAAAAATCTCTCCTATCGCTTTCGCGTTAAGTTTATTATCTGCAAAGCTAAGCACTCTAATGTTTAATTCACCAATTAAATATATATGGATAAATACCGTCTTAAGTGCAACAAATTTTATTGTAGTTTTTACTTCTTTTCCTCCTCCACACTACATGTTTCGGCCCTAAATGGCCATCATCAGGTGTGTATCACTCACGTAGCTGTTACACTGCTACAATAAAATTTGTTGCACTTAAGACGGTATTTATCCATATATATTGTGTGAGTGTAACAGGATGCTGAAATATAATATTGTCACCAATTAAACTTTTCATAATATCTGCTATACTTTCAGCATTATCCTGATTGCACTCTAAAGAGATCTCTGAAATATCTAAAGTTTCAATATCTGTATCTCTTACTTTTAATCCACTTATTAACTCTTTTAAACCTTCTACCCCTATAGGATTACCAGATAACCTCAAACTCTTAAGTTCACTAGCTTGCTTCAAGAGTTTTGCTAATGATTTCATCCCTTCTTTAGTTATTCTCCCTTCTTCCGTATTGTAATTTCCAATGTCTAATTCATTTATAAATAGGTTTTTTCCTTGATAGTCCTTTTGTGCTTTCTCCTTAATACCCTTTATTATGCGATCATTTATACCTGTGTTGGCTAAATTTAATACAGTAATTTTGAATTGTTTCATTTTGGTCCGTTACACTATCAATCACTAATTGTCAATAGATTTTCCGTCAAGTGCAACAATGTTCACTTAATTATCTCATCTGCCTTACATGTTTCGGTTCCAAGGAACCATCTTCAGAGGCACTTATAACAAACCATGAAAACACTGGCACAGCTCAACATCCACAATATGTAATTATTCGTGGAAACTATTACATATAACGGAGTGTAAAGCACAACACTTCCCAGTATCTTGAATGCAGGTATATCACTTGCATCTAAAGGACCACCCTCAAAACCGAGTCGTCAACGTTAAAATTTAAAGTTAAAAAATTAAAAAACGTTCAAGTAAAATATTATTCAGGCTCCTTCTTGGTGAATCGTNGGGGGAGCCCATAGTCAAGTCTAATGGCGGAAGTATTTCTGCAGCATTTTGAACAAAGGGAAGTAAAACATTTGCTAGAGGACAAACATATCATTTACTATAATAGATATGTGGATGACATAATTTTGATTTATAACCAATTAAAAGTTACACCCCAATTCATCTTAGATCAGTTCAATAAGCAAAATAAAAATTTGCATTTCACATTAAATGAAGAGGAGAGTAACCAAATAACGTACCTTGACTTGCAGTTAACAAATAACCACGGACAAATAAGAATGGAGATATATAGAAAGCCCACATCGACAGACACAACGATAAGTAATAGTTCTTGCCATCCCAAGGAGCAAAAATTGGCAGCATACAAAAATTGGTTGCATAGATTAGCCATTCTACCTCTGGATAACGTAGCAAAGAGTAAAGAATTAAATACAATCATTAATATTGCGGAGAACAATGGTTATAGTAAAGAATTGATTACACGTATGTATCACAAATGTCGACAACTAAACAAACTTACCCCCATTGAAGGAAGTGAACAGAAATGGGTTTCATACACATATAACGGATGTTACACTAGGAAAATTACGAAGCTTTTCAGAAACACGAACGTAAGAATAGCCTTTAAAGTAAATCATACATTAGGTAAAATACTTAATACTAAACAAAGCAAAAACTCTTATGAGCAAAGCGGCGTTTACAAATTAACCTGCTTAGAATGCCAACAAGTGTATATAGGTCAAACAGGCAGAAAGTTGATAACACGCTATAATGAACATATAAGATGTATAAGGTTCAATAAAGATGACTCAGCCTATGCTCAACATATTTTAAATCGACAACATCAATATGGCCCAATTGCGCAAACCATGGAATTGATTGAAGTGGCAAGGAAGGGAAAATTAATGAATATCAAAGAAGAATATCAAATCTACCGCCACTACAGGGACAACAAATTAATAGATGAGCAGAAACAGGCAAAAGAGATCAATACTCAGAACAGCATGTTTGACCTCATTACTACTTGTACACACACACCCCCCACTACGTCACGATACACATAGCTTTAAATAACATCGACGTACACTCTCCAATGCAGTACGCAACGCACACCGCGTAAGATACACCCGACCACAAGGTAAGGCCAGGATCATAATAGTATTTAACATTAAATATATAATAATAGATACAACCTAACGTAATATAATATCTTTGCAGCCTACACAACTCTGTGCTGACGCCTCCCCCCATTGGGACGATTCACCAAGAAGGAGCCTGAATAATATTTTACTTGAACGTTTTTTAATTTTTTAACTTTAAATTTTAACGTTGACGACTCGGTTTTGAGGGTGGTCCTTTAGATGCAAGTGATATACCTGCATTCAAGATACTGGGAAGTGTTGTGCTTTACACTCCGTTATATGTAATAGTTTCCACGAATAATTACATATTGTGGATGTTGAGCTGTGCCAGTGTTTTCATGGTTTGTTATAAGTGCCTCTGAAGATGGTTCCTTGGAACCGAAACATGTAAGGTAGATGAGATAATTAAGTGATCAAAATATACATTGTTGCACTTGACGGAAAATCTATTGACAATTAGTTAATACAGTAAGTTTCCGGTGGTTATACAAAAAGTCAACTATTGTCTTAACATCATTTTCATTAAAACCTCTGACAACTTTATTGGATGAACAATCTAAGCTTTTCATACTAGTATTCTTTCTTAAAGCCTGAAATATCTTACTAAAATCGTCAGATGTCATTCCAATGTCACTCATAACTAAGTCATCAATATTATTTTTTTCAGTTAACCTAGCGAGTGACTCAGTAGCTTCTGATCCAACACCATTTGATCCTATGTCGTTTTTAGACAAATCTAGAAAAGAAATTTTACGATTATTTCTTATTAAAAAAATTTATTAAGCCACCTACCTGCACCGAGTTCAACTTACTGCAAGAAAGAGCTACGGAGTTAATACTTTTACGTTCAATTAAAAAGTTGGATAAAATTTCCATTTCAGAATCATCTAGATATATTTTAGATAAATCTAAAGCGTCAATATCTCCTGGAATCCAATTTAAATAGCTCTCAAAATCATAATCTCTTTCAAAGAAAATATTTGAAGGATCATTAATCAAATCTTTGTTTGAATCCTGTAACCGATCTCTTTCTATATCAACCCAATTTGGAATAGTACCTCCGATATGGACCTTAAACGATCTAAGTGCATTTAGTCTACGAACCGGTCTTTTCAGTTTATCAATACCACTCTTCACTTTGGAACTATGTATAACATCAACTAGAAACAATTTATCGGTTGTCTCAATTAAAGAATTGGAAGATTGAGCTTTATTATCAAACAGAACTCCAATAATAAATACCTTATCGCCATCTGTAAGCATCTTATAAGTGACTCCTTCTTTATATTCTTTTTCTATCTGATTACCTGCTTCGCTTAATAACTCAACAGCATTCTTACCTTCTCTCGGCCCTTTAACCTCTATTCCTACAGGAGCATATTCTTTAGCATTACTAGCTACTCCTACAAACTTAATACCATGAACTAGCATGTCAATATGCTTTCCCCTTCCAGTTTGAAATTCCATTAATATTAGTGCTCTACCCTCTGGCAACTCTTCTAGCTTTATGTCACTATAGTAACTAAATAACCCATGCAATACTGCTTGAAAATGTGCTTCTTTTTCTATTAAACCTGTAAAAGGTAACACTACGTCACCTAATTTTCCAAATAACTCCTTATATTTGCCTATTAATTGAGATTGATCTTGTAAAGAAGCAAGCTGAGACTCTAGTTCCTTATCAAATGTCTCCTTAAACTCAGAAGGAATGTTTTTCCACTCTCCACCAAAAAAAAACTTTTTCCCTGTTTATACTCATCCAAGGAATTATATCTATTAACCTCCTCTACATCGAAAAAATTTGATTTTCTTTCCTCCTGTAAACTTATACATACTTCTGTTATTTTACTGACTGTTGAAAGGTTAATGGGTATTTTCTTCTTACTAAAATCTCCTTTTCCTCCCTCTCTAATGTGAAAAATAAACACCTCTTTATCTTGCCCCTGATTTCCTTTCGTCAGCATAAATATTACCACAGGCCTTTCAGTTGATTGTGTATAAGACCTTGTAGAAGAAGCAAGTGGGTACTCATTATATAAAAATTGGGATTTCTCTAAATCAATATCTATATACTTATCAGCAAGAAGAAGTTGCCCCAATAAAAATCTACAAAAGTAACTACCTCCTTTCTCTGGTGTACCGGGAAATGTATAATAAATACTGTTATATCAGTAATTGTACTTTTTCCACCATTCCAACTTGAAGTTACTTCTAAAAGCTTCTGTATTGTAGGTAGAGCAATTTCTCTATCTTCATGAGGTGATATATACATTGGAAACTTTTCACCTTCAGTTGAATCCAAATTTAACCCTACACATAACACATCATTTGAAACGGTTAAAACACGAATTGTATTCAGCTGAAAGCCTTTTGCATAATCTTTTGCTTGCTCTAATGCAATACCTGGTGTTGTACCAGCAGCTGTTCCTGCCTTTAATTCAGTAATAATTGGAACAGAATTTAATGATCTATCCTTACCACGAGGCACTAAAACAATATCAGCGTAACCTCTTCCTCCAAATTGCTCCAAGTAAACCCTGAGATGTCTGTAGCAAAAATTTACTGAAGTACCTGCTATAAAACCATGATGTGCTGCTTCTCGTGCTTTATCAGCATAAACAAGTAAACTCTTATATCCAGAGTGGATTTTACTAACTTTTTTAAGAATTTCTTCGACTGATTCCTATACTTTTACTGCATTCGAATTAGTCAGCTTTGCTATATCACTTTCTAGATTATTCCATAATCCTTTTTTTATTTCTTTAAACTCATGTACTGTAGAGGTGTCTTGATCTAAGTTATCACTTTTTACTTCAACAGATATTCTTGCTGTTTTCCCTTTAGCATCTTTCTCTTTGGTAATTTCTACCAACTTAACACCAAGCTTACCTTCATCTCTAGCCTGTCTTACATGATTATTCTGGACAATATTAGCATTACCTTGTATCTTATCCAACGCACCATTAACTAAATTTTTTCTTGTACTATCAGATTCCCCGATAACAAAGAGCTTTACCTTATTAGCTGCATCTTCTGGACTCGTGATTGCTTCTTTTTTAATAACAGCCACTTTGAGTTTTTGAACCATCAAAACTAAAATATATTTTTTCAATATCCAACTTTATTGCAATTTCTGTGTCTATCAAAGTAGAAAAGCTTCCTAAAAAGAAATGAGGAAAAAAGCCTTCTTTACTGACCGAATGTAAATATGATGGGATCTGATCTGTATACGATTGAAGCCTTGCTTTGAAAGATTCAAAATAACTTCCTTGCTGAGTTGAAGTACTTGGACTAGATCCTACATTTGAACCTGCTTCTCGAATTAATAGTTCTATTAACTCAAAATCTTGTGCTTGTTCATGCTGTATTTCTTTTTGCTTTCTTTTAGGCATATCCCCCTTTAGATATATAACGCTTAATGATTACCTGGATCCACATGAGACTGATCATGTATTTTACTTAACTTCAGCCAAATTAGCACTTACACTACCCTGATCAAGATTTTTCTCTGTGGACTTACCATAAGCTAAAAATCTATTTAATGAATCATGATCTCCTTGCTCTAATACAAAACGTATATGATCTGCTTCTTCAGGGGCCATAAATTCCGTAATTTGATCAGAGTTAGCTTTATCTAATACTGCAAATACTAGCTTCATACAACCCTTCTCAACCAAAGACACTAGAAGCCTTCCTTGAAAATTAGAACAGTTCATCATTTCTTCATTCAATGTTAAGGTACGATGATCATCAAATCCCTCTCTTGTCCATACATGCATAAAAACCTCCATACCTGGACTTAAATAATGCTCCGGACATTCCCTTACCATTAATTCCAACCAGAGACAGTAATCATCTTCCGGAACGTTGCATGGTTCCAAAAAATCAAATAACTTTTGAAATTGATCAAAATTAAACATTTCTAGCATTCTGTATAAAGAAGCATATTCAGTATTTTTTCTAAATCTCTTTTCAAAAGCTCTGGATATTTATCAGAACTTATCTGAGTTAAATTCAAACACATCTGGATAGCCATTATCATGTGCTGCATGCACTGCAATTTCCATGAAAATTTCATCCTTTTCCTGATCACTTAACTCACTTTCAGGCAACGATTTAATCTTATCCCAAAAGAATTCCACTGCTTCCACACGTCTTCTATTTGAACTTCTTGCTGCACAATGTAAACCAAAGACATAGGGATGCTGACCTTTTAGATCTAGCTCTGAAATGTACCCGCTAATGAAATGTGACCAAAATTGCATCACTGCACCTGTATACCAACTTCCACTCATTCGTTTAGCTAACTCCTTTAATGCATCTGAATCACCATCTTTTACTTCGTGCTTCCGTTTAAAATGTTCAAATAGAGAAACTATGTCTTCTTCTAAGCAACACCAACATGCAATTCCGTAAAGATAAAAGTCCTCTAATGGATTACTTGTACCCTTCCAACTCTCAGGCTCAATCACCTTTTTAGCCACTACTCTTCTGTTAAGCTTGATACCATGTATTGTATCGGTTTTTTCCCAACATTCTTCATTTGATAATATAGCAAGGAAAAAGGGAAGATTTCTAGTATTGATAGTCTCCAAATATCCCCGCCCCCAATTTCTTATTTGAAGTTTTTTAGAGTCCTTGTAAGGATCATCATCCCTAATAATAGAGAAAGCTGCCTTGGTTAGGTCATCTAAGTGCATAATTCTCACCACCATAAACAAAAGCGCATTAAGATACACAACTATGACAATTTATACACTCCATATCATTTTCAACATTGTACTACACCTTTGTAGTCTGTCAACCACTATTTTAGAAAATTTTTTAGGCTTGGAATAATTTTTAACAAAAGCCTCTTTTAACAGGCTCGTCCTCATCCTCAGGGGTTGTACTTCTTGGCCATCCTCCTGTGCCTGGTGGACGTGCAAAACTCCCATGTTGCCATAGGTGGTGATAGATTCCTTCAAATGTCTTTCAGTCTGGCAATCTGCACATTGTGTAGCATTCCTGATACAAGCAACGTGCCTCTGAAGCATTACCATCTGCCAAACCATACATGTAATGCATGCTCACGAGTTCTTCATTTGTGTACATTATGTATATCGACCTGG